GCCGCCCCTGGCTTGCACCTCGTTGTCGCTCTTCCAGAGGTTGAGTCGCACCGAGTGCGAGTTCAAGTACCCGGAGATTTTCTTCATGAGGAAGGCGTCGAGACGGGCGTCGGGGTCGTTGGGGAAGTCCCGGGCGAGCTCGGCGACGATGTCGGCGGTGTTGGAGCGGGCGGTGGCCGCCTCCCGGACCACGGAAACCCCCGGGAGGACGCTGTAGTCGTCCTCCTCGTTGAGCTTGTCCACCCAGGAGACGATGTCCAGTTTGAGGCACGTGGGGGAGTAGGCCTTGTCGCAGTCCCTCGAAAGGGACTTCTTGAAGTCACTGCGATCACTTTTCACCGCATCGTCGGCGAGGGTTGCACTTATCAACAAAACTAGCACCAAGTACTTGGTGGTCATTGTGCCCTAGGTTGCGAGACTATGCTGGTTGGTTGGCCACTTTAGCTTATATATGTAGCGAGATGAGAAAAAAAGTATAACATCCAGTGTTTTTCCTCGCGTTTCTGCGTTTAGAAAAAATTGTTTATCGGTTTACGCCTTTCTCGCATGCCGTATATGTGGTGGACATAGAGACGAGAGTTTATTTAGCTCGAGAGATTAATTTTCCAATAACAGGTTTCATTAGGCTATTTGGAAGGTAGTTTAGATCGAGTTACGCCTAACGAATCGCTGATAATTCCACTAATCAGATTCTATAATTGTTTCTAGTTGGACTACAGGTACTATCTCAAGAATGCATAAAAAAGTTCATTAAGAAAGTATGGCAAATGATTGTTCTATATTTTAGAAACTGTCTCTCCGAGATGCTCTACATTCTACATTTTATTAAATCGACGCGTTTTTCACCTGATTATTCATATGTAGCAAATAGAAATTACACATTTACAATTACACTGAATTTTAACTAACAGACCGGAAAACTTAACACGGATGGACAACGCAGCGAGGAAGAACGCATTCACCAAATCTTACTTTTTGCATCACAATCAAAGAAGTGAAGATTTTTTCATAAATTACACACCTCGTTAAAATGGCCAAATAGAGCTGCAAATTGAAATTTCAAATTAAAACTCAAAAAAGTTCAACAACGCAAAGTTGCATCATCTCGAATCCTCTTCTTTTCAACTCTTCATCTCAAATTTCTAGCATTGGAAACGAAATGTAAAATAATTTTAAGGGAGAAATAATTATTTTTGTGCTTGGTTCATGACAAACTAAATAATGGTATTTAATTTTTTTCGAAATATTATTAGATGGGGCTGCTCTCAAATCCTCAAACACTCTATATAAAATCAAGATGAAAACTCAATTTTTACATGTGAAAAGTTGTACCAAAACTCATTTCATTGTTCTCGTAATTTTTCATGGTTTATTATTTTTTTTTAAATTATCTTTAAAAAAAATCAGCTTCAGTTATTAAAAAGTGTGAAAATTCGTAGTTTACTAACGTTGTCTGATAGTAGCTCGTCTACAATTTTCTGTATTATTTTTTTTTATTTTATTTGTTGGAAGAAAGCAAAATTTGTACCTACTCATCTATTGTCACTTTCAAGTACCATTTAGGCCATTGAAAGCAAGTATAAATTGGAGGTTTTATTACGAGATTAAAGAAAATGATTTATGTTATTCTGTAGTAAGTCGTTTTTGAAAATTTTCGTTATTTTTAATTTTTTTTTGTAAAAATTTTCAGAACTTGGAAAGTCAGAATTTTTATAATTTCAGTTTTACTAAAGTTCTATTTTGGGATTTTTTTAATTTTTTATTTAAACGGCAAAAAATCTGCCCTTCTTTTAATTTCACTAATTCTCTTTCTTTTCAATTATTTTGCTTTATGTTATTTTTCACTTTTATTTATTATTTTGTCTGCTAAAAAAAGTCGATTATCAAAAACAGAAAAAGAAGAAGAAAAAGATGAGTTGAGAATAATTTTTATCAGAATACATTTTTTGATCTTATGGTAGAAACTAAAAAAATGATTTCTCTTATTCTGTAGCAAGTCG